CAGCTCTTTGTGAAGGAACAGGTAGGACTTGGGCTGATATTACCGGACATTGTATAGACCTGCTGGATCTCACTGATGTTGGTAGAGTGACACTGCGGATGAAGTGTCGTCCGGCTGGGCTACAGAGAAAGAGAGCTAAAGGGATAGTTTGGGACAGATGAGGCCAAATCCTCAGCTGGTGTAAATCAGTGTAGCTCCACTGACTTTGGCAGAGCTACGCCGATTGACCCCAGTTGGGGATCTCGCCCAGCTCTGAATTTCTCAGGAGGTTTCACATGCTGGGAGATTCCCAGCCAACCCAGGACAGAAAAGCAGGATCCTCCCCATAGAAAGGAATCTTTGTTCCAGACGGCAAAGTTTGCAGCAAGGTACAGAAGGAGTGGGGAAGAGGACTGTTTGCACATGCTCAGAGGAGACCTCCTGCATGGATCTCTCTGTTTTTCAGGAGGTGCGGCTCCCGACAATCACCACCTTTGTACTGCCTGAGGGATATGACTGGAAGGAGGTCACAGCATTTATTATGAATAAACATGCAATCGAGATCTCAGGGGGCCTGGGACCATCAGAAGGCAAGGTAGGTACAAGCTGCCAGCCAGGGTCGAACTCTGCAAGTCACTGTGGCTAGTCAGGTACTTGAGCTTGCTAAAAATGCCCATATGGATCTCAACAGATTATGGGCCAGGTTCTTTTCTCAGTTCCTGCCATTATATCTAGAGAAGCTCCATTGACAGCACTGGAATGATACTGGTGGAACATCACCCTAGCAATACATTATATGTGTTTTATGTATCCAACCAAGAACTTGCCTTGAACCTGATAGTGCCACCAATGCCATCAGCCTCCTGGTTCCCCCCTTGCTGCTTAATAAGAACCTCAGGATCCATTGCCCACAAAGGAACTCCCAGTCTGGTGTCAGGAAGGTACCAAGTGAGCCAGTTTCCTTGACAGAAATGGGTCCTTTCACCTGGGGCCAAGGGGTGATTTGGTATCTGAGGATTTCCCTAAATGAGCGTCTGCCTTTGCTGAGTCCCAATGACTTTCAGCACTGGTCTGGATAGGCTTGTGAAGAGTAGAGTCCAGGAGATGTGCTGAACCCCCAGCTCATCCAATCACAGGCTTGGTCTACACTTACCCCCCAATTCGAACTAAGGTACACAACTTCAGCTACGTGAATAACGTAGCTGAAGTCGACGTACCTTAGTTCGAACTTACCTCGGTCCACACACGGCAGGCAGGCTCCCCCGTCGACGCCGCGGTACTCCTCTCGTCTAGCTGGAGTACCGCAGTCGACGGCGATCACTTCCTGGTTCGACTTATCGCGTCCAGACAAGACGCGATAAGTCGAACCCAGAACTTCGATTCCCAGCCGCCGAACTAGCGGCTGAGTGTAGACATACCCACAGATTCCTTTCCAAATAGATCCCTGGGGCCTTCCATAGGGAATGCAGCCCAAGACTGATACAAACCACTGCCTCGGGGCTTCATGCACTGAGATCCAGAAACAAGCAAACTTAGAGAAAAAGCTCTCTCGAGATAAGACCTGGCATCTTACAGCCACTTGTGAAATAAGCAGTGACTATTGGGAACCTGTAGCAGGGTTTGCCACCCTTCTGTAGCCAACCACAGTGATACAGATGAGTCCTGCCTCAGTTTCCCTCATGGTCCCCAGGGCTGGCCAAGTTGCTCTTCTCCACCTTCCTGCTGCTGCTTCCTACTCCCCTTTCTCAACTGCTGCCTGGGTCTCTATAGAGGTCAGGTGCCCTCATCAGGCAACTAACTAGACACATGTGAACTGGACCAATTTCCTCTTAAAGAGGCCAGTTGCTCTGGGAGGGAATTCTAACATAGACGTCTGTTTAATTAGGGGCTGTAATAACAAACAGCCTCCTCTCCCCCCCCCCCAACACACAACATTATTTGTGTGGTAGAAGGTGTGTGGCAGAATAGAAGGTGTGTGGTAGAAGATGTAGCATTTGTAGGTTTTTCCAAGAGAGAATGGAATTGCTTGTAGACAAATTTGCATAAGCAAATTTCAGAGGAGAAGAAAAGCTAGTCTTTGTTCTTTCCATGTTTTCCTTGTTTGTGTCAATGAATGCAAATTAAAAGAGAATACCTAAGACAGAGCTGCATTGAAGAGTCTTTTTCCATAGGCTTGTTACTAACCAGTCGTTACCCTAAACTGGAAGAGACTAGGGAAAATGGGAAAGTTCAAATGCAATCATTTATTAGAGGAAAGGGAAGTTCCAATAACAGCATGATATTTATGCTGGCTTTAGGTCAAGTGCTCTGAGCACTTTTTCCAAGCCTCAGTAGAGAGTATACCTTGTTCTGGATTGGGCATAACACTTGTGAGAAGCTTGCAGACTTACCAGGATGAGTTTTTAAGCAAAGCTATTCTTGCAGGGCTTTGGCTAGGAGGACCTAGGTTGATCATTGATTCCTTATTTTAAGAGCTGTTCCTTATTGGAGGCATGATCCAACTCCTACTGAAGTCAATAGAAAGACTTCCATTGATTTCAATGTGAATTGGATCAACCCAAGTCAATATATGAGGTACTTTTCTCCAGTAGACATAAGGAATAGTATAACATGATACAAAGGGATGAATAAAGCATTGGGAGGGGCAGCCCCTTACAAATAAGCTTTGTTTTAGTGTTTCATATCATGTCATTTATTATCTCTAACTGTAGGTGGTCACCCTAGGAGGAAATCAGCCACAAATTTGCTCCCTACTGTATTTTATCTTTGGCATACTGGCCAGCAGAGCTAAAGCAGGTGCCACCAAAGAAGCTGAAGATTTCTTGTGTTTTCATTTTACTTGTATTTGCTTAAATTAGTGATAACAAAAACAATTACATCTATGTGGTCTGATTCCCCCACTGCCATGCAGCTTCTGCAGCGTACACTACTGCAACGTGGCTGTGACGGCAGCTTGACACCATTCTGATCTGCTACCTTTTTACACCTCCTTTGCATTCACTTTGCCCAGGCATAAGTGACCGTACATGGTGCAGGGCACTGGAGAATCTGGCCCATTGTATGGTATGTGTGTAGGAAGTCACTGGCATGGGTCTCACCTCCTCCATGAGCCTTGCATCTCCTGCAGACATGCAATCCGACCTGTCACGGGGCCGACCCTGGAGAACCAATTTGATCTCATCAATATTTACTACTCTCTACTGAGTTTCTTTTTCTCTCAATTTCAGGTTCTTCGAATAGGACTCATGGGTTATAACTCCACCAAATTCAATGTAGACCGAGTCCTCCATGCCCTGAAAGATGCCCTCCAGCACTGCCACAAGAACAAGCTGTGAGCAGCTCCTAGTGCAGCTGCAGACACAAGTACAGAGAGATCATTTCAGGCCTTGCTAATGCCACTGTCTTCTCCCGAACTCAAGTAGGAGGCTGAAGTGGGGTACAACAGTAGGATACAACAGACATTTCCCTCATGTCTGTTGTATCCTATGAAATATTGGTTAGCGCCTGACCAGCTGCAGCACCCTACAGGGGAAAAATGAACCATGGAGCCATGGTCCATTGGGAATTGACTGTTTGCAGTATCAGGTGGATCTGCACATGGATATTCAGAGTTTTTGCTTTATTGATGAATGACCAAGATGTGATCAGGGTAGTGTGGAAGTGACAGTGCAAGAGTGGGGAGTTGACAGGGGGGGCAGGGGGAGGAAGGGCAGATGAGATGTATGAGGAGTGGGATAAAGCGTTCCAACTTGTTGCCAGCTGCAGAACTCCAGATCTGCTTGGGCTGCCATCTTATCGAAAGCAGGAGTTTGAGAGAGGCAGCATGCTACAGAATCAACCCACACCCCCTCTCAGGACTTGATCTGGCAGCATTCAGCTGAAGGATGAGGAAAAAGGGATGGGGAGGACTTGGGAGCACAGTGGAACCTGAACCTGCATCAGTGAGAGTGCTGCTGGGCACCCGGGTGCTCCTGCCTAGCAGTGACAGCAAGGCCAGAGAGGTGAGCACCGAGCTAAAGTTAAGTCCTGGTCACCTCAGCCAGGCCCATTCTCTTCCTATGCCCTCCCCCTTTCACACCCTGCCCTCTTTTAAGACAGCGGACATGCAGGCATGTGCTGAGTGCCAAGGGCTGGCCTGATGCTTATTTATGCCCTCTCTGCCTGCTCTGTTCACACCTGCCCTCCAGCATAACAGCTTTGCACTCCCTGCTGCACACTGACTTGCAGGCCCCTGGATTCCTGGGATCAAGGCTTCATATTCCTCCTCCTTCTTGCCCTCTGCCATGTTGGTCCTTTCAGCATGAGCACAGCAGCCTGGATGGCCTCACAATCCTGCTTACAGTGGTCCCACAAACAGGAAACTACATCATCAAAGCAGGTATTACAACCAGTCAGGAACTTGGAAGCTCCCTTCAACAGCCAAGCTCTACTGGCACACCCATGCAAAAGCATATGCTATATACATGTGTAAATTCACTGGTGCACAGGGCATGACCCCAGAATAGATCATACTGCGTTAATAAACAGTGACGTATGGCACAGCACAGCTTGTGTGTGACTCTGATTTGCTACAGAACACCGTAATTCCCCTAGCAGAAGACACGGTACAAGTGACCAGCAATACTAGAAGTAATTCCATGGGGCATGGCTTACCCTGCACTGACTGGAGCTCAGCTATACAGCCATGTGGTAGTAGTGTACTTGAGTGTGTCATACACAGAGAACTGTGTCTTGTGTCCATTCATCTAGCGATTCAAAGGCAGAGGACTGAAAAGGGTCTATGCGCCACGGGTAGCCCCGTCACCTCTCCTGTTCTGGTGACACTCTGGTGTCAACACCCGGCCTCCACCACAAGCTTATTTCAGCTCTGTCCCAACTGCTCTTTTTCCCAATTGTGCAATGTGAAGCCAATGGATGTTGGGTTCCCAGCACAGCTGCTGTGATCAAGGCAGTAAAGGCAAACGTGGGGGGAACCCATTCAGTCTATGGGTTCAGGGCGTGATCACGTGAGATGAGCTGGCTCAGCTCTGGTCATTAACTACCTTCTTGGCCTTTGACAAGATGTCCGACAGAGCAGAGATCCGCTGTTTGTCCTGGATGCGGTAGGCCTAGAACTGAACAGCAAGGAAAGAGGAGGAGTTAGATGGAAGGCCCACTCTGATCACGAAATGCTGCCGATCAGAGGCATTTCTCAGCCCCAGAGAGCTGTGTGTGGCTCTAGAGCAGTGGTTCCCAAACTTGTTCCGCTGCTTGTGCAGGGAAAGCCCCTGGCGGGCCGGGCCGGTTTGTTTACCTGCCGCTTCCGCAGGTTCGGCCGATCGCGGCTCCCAGTGGCTGCGGTTTGCTGGTCCAGGCCAATGGGAGACGCGATCGACCGAACCTGCGGACGCGGCAGATAAACAAACCGGCCCGGCCCGCCAGGGGCTTTCCCTGCACAAGCAGCGGAACAAGTTTGGGAACCACTGCTCTAGAGCCATAGGTTAAGTGCTAGCATTCTAGCACCATGCTGACCTATTTGGATATTTCGGAGGAATCCTACCTCCTAGCCATACGACAGTGTGGGCATGGCAAGGAGCTTCAGCAATCTCCAGCTGGTGGAAGTTTCTCTGAGGACCACAGTCAGCTAGCACAGATTAGAGCATCTCCTAACCCACTCTATCTTGCACCGAGGGCAGAGAATTAGGGAGCTGTAACCAGCTTTCTTCTCCCCTTGGCAGCCTTCCCCCACCCACTGGGTTCAGTTTATACTACAGACAGCTGAGAATCCAGGCCACCAACTGTTCTGTCACTCTGATGGGATCCTTGAGCGTGATTCTGAATTACCTTACTAAGCAGCACATCAAAGTAGGCTGTGTCCCAGTAGGCTCCAGCCTGAACTGGGAGCTGCAGCCAGGTCTTGATGCCATTGTCTAGCCACTGGTGATGTTCTGCCCTGCTTGGGTGAAATGGCACTTGAGGAAATGCTCTGGTGAGCTAGCAAACCCCTCTACTCTGTGGTACAAAGCACTCGGGTCTAGATCCTCTCCTTGTATGATGATGCTGCCCATAGGAGCCAGCTGAGGTTACTAAATTAGGGTGAACGGCAAACAGAACAGGGCAGACAAACCACAAACGCTGGTGGATATTCCAATACTTAGATTTACCAAGCCAGCACAAAACAACTTCTATATTACCTCACTGGTTACTCAGAAGTCCAAACAATGCAGTTCCCTTAAAGTACCCAGCCTCAGGCCTCCATCCAGACGCACGTCAGATATGATGATGATTACTGAAAATCTTATCTCATCATATAAAAGAAAAGGTTCTCCTGATCCCAAAGGACCAAGCCCCAGGCCCAGGTCAAATGATAACTTAGATCTTACCCAGAATACATGCTTATAGCCAATTCTTATTAACTAAGCTAAAATTTATTAAAAAAGAAAAGAGAGAGAGTGTTGGTTAAAAGATCAATATACATACAGACTTGAATTCAATTCTTGAGGTTCAGATACACAGCAGAGATGAGCTTGTAGTTGCCAAAAGTCCTTTTAGATATAGTCCATAGGTTATAGTCCAATGTCCATATTCAGGGTGACGCCACTCAGTGGCTGGGGATCTCAATCCTTATGGCTTAAGGTTTCCCCTCTTGAAACCCAAAGCAGATCTGAGATGAAGAAGGATCGTGTCCCAGGGTTTTTATACATTTCCTGCAGCCTTTTGGCCTGAGAAAACAATAGGCTGAACTTTCCTTCTCCTAAACATCATGGCAATTAGCATAGGGTAATTTATCCATTAAACAGTTCAGATACAGGTTACCACAACCTTCAAAGAGACATATAGCCAATAATACTATTTCACTCAAGTATCTTCCTAAATATTACTATTCCTTTTTTTGATCTTTGAATCAAAGCTATAGCAATAGACAAGACTTGTTTGCTTATATCACAAGACCTGAGCAAACATCTACCCTTCTACCTCTAACAATATAGGCTTGCATTTCAAAGCTCTATTCATTTACATATCTTCCTAACCAGTCTCTAAAGTTCGGCCATGGGTCAGGTCAGTCTGTGAGTTAATTAACTCTTTCTGGCCCTGTCACCTTTCAATGAGATATTATATTACACTCATAATGTCACACTTTGGAAAAGATTTTCTTCTGGATACAGGAAGTGGGGGAGATTTTTGGTTGCTAAGCAACAAAGCAGGATCACCAGGAGCTGATAGACTGACCCTTCCAGGTCCTCCCAGTCCTCAGGGGAAGGGAACAGCTCAGTGGCCCACAGCAGCACCATCTAGAGGAAACCAAAAAGATTTATTCAGAGAGGGAGAATACAGAATATGCAAACTATCAGGGGTTATACAGCTATGGCTGGGATGTTCAAAGCTGCCAAAGGGATTTAGGCACCATTAACGTTAATGGGAATTGGGCATCCAAATCCCTTGGCAATGTTGAAACTTCCACCCATTATTTATGTTTGTAACTGTGGTAGCTAAATGCTTAATGAGGACATTTAAATGTGGACAGACTTTAGTTTGCATCCCATTGACTTGTTCTGTCTCCCAGAGCTGCGGACTCCAGCAGACATCAGCACATCAGGGGCACTCGGTTCATATTCTGAAGACTTTCTTCAAATTAATAAGTATCTTAATTTTTGTCTAATGAAAGCTTGATTCAAATTATTCAGCAACTTGAAAATAATCGGCACTTCTGCGGCAATTTACATGGAGGCATCATCACATTGAAACTATCAGCAAGGCCAGGGCACAATTCTATACCAGCCATCACTGGCATGTTACTCCTCTACTAACACTCTTGTGTCTGTAATTAGCATAGCATAGCCCTATCGCCATGCTGGGATACTGAGAAACGGAGCACTGGTCACAATGGCTAGTACCTTCCAATACCATGCTATAACATGAAGCATACACAAGTCATAAAGGTTAGCACTGCCCAAAGTGGGCACCCCAAACCGCTGTGGAGTGGTGTATTAACTGGGTTCAAATCTGAAGGACAAATTCCTCAACACCATCTGCGGTTCTGGAGGACAGAACATGTCCCAACCATGAAAGGAAGCACATCCAAGAGCATGGTGCTTCATAATACCTTAGCTGAGGTCCTGTGAGATGGAACATGTCCAAATTATTAAAGATGGTACTGCCACTAGCACAACATCCTCAGCATCAGGCTGCAATGTTAGCAGCTGGTGCATGCTCAGGCTGTGAAAAACAAATTCAGCAGCTCAATCTTCCCTTTCCTAGGGTGTTGAAAGATGAAGTTTGTCCAAAGCATGACGCATGACCCTCCAGCTGTGTGCGAGCTCCTAATGGCATGTTGGGACTTGGTAGAAAAAGCAACATCTCAAGTTGTAGTAGGATTCTCTTGTACCAAATCAGTAGCCACAAAGAAGTGACACTGCAGTTGCTGGCTGAGCCCAACATGCGTAACCCCCATCTATAGAGCCTTGGCTGTTTAGCTCATCTCGTGCTCTTAGCTCTGGAGGTCCCTGGTTCCATTCCCCATGTATCAAGCATCACTAGGGCTGAACATTTGTCACAGTATTTTTTAACAAAAATCCCAGAGCAGTCATGGTAACTGTAGTAAAAGGCCTGGGTTGCTACACTTCCAGTGCCTGCTCCCTGACTTTTTTTAAAAGCAAACTCTCCTCACTGCCCCACCAACGGGGCCCTGACCACCACTGCAGCACCATCTGCCCCGGTACTGCAACCCTAATCCTGGCCCACTATGGAGGGGAGTCCCTGGGGGGATGGAGACTGGAGAGTGAGCCTGCCCTGCACTCCCCCAGCCTGAGCCCACCCTGCACTCCCCCAGCAGTGGCGGCTCCTGCGGTTCCTGTGTTCCATGTGGCTGGACATGGTGTTGTGACCTGGTGTGTGGGGTCACAGTGTTGCTCAGGTTTGCCCCCCCCAATCATTATGGAGGGTCAGGTGGGCCAAAGCTGAGCAGCGCTGCAACCAGATGCATCAGGTTGCAACACCTGGAGCGGCTGCAGGAACAACTGTTGTGGGATGAGTCATAGACATGGAGAAAAGTCACAGACGAACAGGAAAATCACACTCTCTGTGACAGTTTCCCAGCCATGACAAATGTGCAGCCCTAGCCATCACACATGGAGCACAGGGAATAGAACACAAGATCTTCAGGGCTGGAAACACAGGCCCCTGTCACATGAGCGGAACAAGAATCACTATTAGCTTTAGTAGTATTAAGGCTTATGTACCCTCTCTGGCTCATGGGTACAAGAAAGTGAGGTATTCTGATACACCTAACCAGGCCTGGCATTCTGTTCAGCATAAGACAATGGTACAAATACACACCTAGCTATATTATTCCCATCCTGTTAGGTTCATATGCCAAGGTTAACTGAATGTTTATTTCAGTAAAGATGTGTAAAGTGCACAGTTCTCATAGAGTCAAAGTGACTCAGGTCGGAATACGGTGCCATACACCAGAATACGAGCTATTCACAGTTACAAGTACAGTGTCCCTAGCTGGTCTCTCAGGAAAACATACCTTCAAGTGATTAAATGTGAGCCCTCCTTTCCTGCCCTCTTCTTTCCAGTCCTCACTGTTGACTTGGTCCAGTAGGTGAAGGCTGTCCAAATGGTGGCCCTTCAGCGTGCCCACAATATGGAGCAGTTTCATGACAGGGCGATTGGTGGAGTACCTGGCGAGAGAAATTTATAGGCTGCAGCTGAACAGGTCATTGCCTTTTCAGGGCTTTTCTAGAGTTGGTATGGATTGAATCAACATTAAAATGAGCAGGTTTGCCCTTTCTCCTGGATCCTTCCAAGCAAGGGGAAGATGCCAGGGAGCAGTGGAGGCCAAGGAAGTCTATAGCACCATGGCACCCTCTATTAAGGTTCCTCCTCAGATCAGGTCACTATGTGAATTGTTGTGCTCATCCCTGTGCTTGTTTATATTTTGGTGTCCCTAAAATGGATTTTGGAGGGCATCTTTCTGAAATAAAAAAGTGCATAAAAAAGTGCCTTCCTTTCAGAAGCAGGCCATCAGCTCTGTGAATGTCACTTTGGTCCTGCTAATAGGGTAGTAGGCCTATTGGAAGTTGTCTTCTTTGACCCCACCCTCTTTGGCAGAGGTGAGTCAATTTCTGGCAAGTTTCATCCTTTAGTTGTTCATCTCTAATTTGCTGAAGTGAGCTGGCTGATGCTGGAATTGCTGCCAGAACAAGTTCAATGTAGACTTAAACCAAAATGGCCTGACCTGAAGGAATTTGAAAACTGAATGCCGAAACAGAAATTCAGCAGCAATAAAACTTCAATGTTCAGCACAGAACAAAAGCACTGCCTGAACTGAGCCCAGGGAACAAAGTGTAGATGACAGCTCCTCGCTTTTGGAACTGTTCAAAACTCAGCAGGAACTCCCAGATCCTCCCAAGTGGAGACTCCAAAAGGACTTCTCCAGAGCAATTGGGTTCATTCTCAGTGTTCCCCAGCACAACAAAGAGAGGCTCTCGAACTTGCAGGTACTCTGTCAGGAATTGAGCCCTCTCCACAGGGAATGCTACACGGGAACTCAGCCGAAGTGAGAACAAGGTTTGGAAGGCTGATGAGAATCCCTCAAAGATGTGATCTATAGAATAATGTTCGGGGCTATTTAAATGGAATGGATAAGGGGACATACCTGTGTAAATAGTATTAAGGATTTACGTTTACTTTGGATTGCGGTGTGAGTACACACATTGGTTTATAAGTTAAGTTTTAATCTTTTATCATAAAGGGAGATGTGGAGTGGCTATAGCGTTCCTGGTCTTCCACAGTTACCAGAGAGGACCAGGATGGGCTGCAACAGGAAGCTTAATAAACATGAGTTCTTCCTGGTTCAGGGAGGTCTCCAGTTGCTGCTTAAAGCATGGCTCTTTGTGTTTCTCCTCACACTGCAGAACCATCCAGAACTGGGCGGCCCAGCCTTGCCCAGTGCTTCATTTGTAAAGAGGTGCTGGAGTTCAAGCAAAACAAAATGGCATCCTCTGCACAGCGTGACCTCTCACACACTGTACGTGCAAGGTCACGCCTTGCATGCAAGTATAGAATTGCATGCCTTACTAAAGGCCATTGACAGAAGAAGTGCCAAGGCTGTACCCTGGCATGAAAAGAGGTGCTGGGGCTGAGCCCTGGCAAGCCCCAGCTCAAATTAAATTCTGGCCATGACAAAACTCTAGCCAGAGGATGATCCCACTGTGATGGGTTCGGTCACAGAGATCCCTTTGGGACTCTCACCGGATGTGGTAAAGTTACCTCTGAGCCCGTTTTCCCTGCCAGCTTGGGACTCCAGAACTCTGCCTTGTTGAGACAGACACACTAGCCTGCTGCAATACAGACCCAGTCTGGTCCATGCCCCCAAAACTGCAGACTTAACTGAAAACAGCTTAGCAGATTCCCTGCCTCCAGCACCCAGATACCCAGCTCCCAATGGTATCCAAACCCCAAATAAATCCATTTTACTCTGTATAAAGCTTATGCGGGGTAAATTCATAAATTGTCCGCCCTCTATAACACTGATAGAGAGATATGCACAGCTGTTTGCTCCCCCAGGTACTAATCACTTACTCTGGTTTAAAAACAAAAGTGATTTTATTAAGTATGAAAAGTGGGATTCAAGTAATAACAGACAGAACAAAGTAAGTCACAAAGCAAAATAAAACAAAACACGCAACTCTAAGCCTAATACATTAAGAAACTGATTATAGGTAATATCTCACCCTCAGAGATGGTCCAATAAGCTTCTTTCATAGACTAGACTCCTTCCTAGTTTGGGCCCAATCCTTTCCCCTGGTACAGTCCTTGTTAGTTCCAGCAGACATCTTAGGTGTTAACTAGCGGTTTTCTTATGACTGGCCACCCCTTTCTCCTGCTCCACCCCCTTTTATAGCTTTGGCACAAGGCGTGAATCTTTTGTCTCTCTGGGTCCCAACCCCTCCTTCTAAATGGAAAAGTACCAGATTTAAGATGGATTCCAGCATCATGTGACATGATCACATGTCCTGTGAGACCCCAACCTCCATTCTTCCTGGGCTGGTCCACACATACACAGGAAGGTTTGCAAGTAAACAGAACCATTTACAGTTCATTGATTCTGAAGCGCACTTAATGGCTTCCACTTAATATGTTTACATTAGTAATACAAGTTTGTATCTTATTCTCCTAACTCCAGACATAGAAATAATACATGCAAACAAATAGGATGAACACACTCAGTAGATTATAAACTTTGTAATGATACCTTACAAGAGACCTTTTTCATAAAGCATATTCCAGTTACATCATATTCACATTTATAAGCATATTTACATAAAGCATATGGAGTGCAATGTCACACCCACCCTCTCAGAGGGGAGGCAATCTGATGGCTTTGTGGCACCAAACTTTTTGCCTACCCCTCTGTGGAGTCTGAGACCTCACCTCTCAAAAGGGCACTGGGGCTAAGACTGGGCTGGTGGTGGATCTCCAATATCCCCGTCCGAGAGGTGGGTTCCTGTGGTTGGCAGCAGGGGAGACACAGCAGGATGAGTAGCCCAAAGAGAGACCCTCGCTGACAGCTCAATAACAGCGCTCCCAGCTGGGGAGCTGACAATGGCCACCAGGAGAGGATCCCCCCTGGAGATGTTCAATGTATTTATTGTTTTTAATGTACAAACTCCTCCTGGCTGTTGTGTCTCCCAAAACATCTCCCCAAGACTTAAAAACCTCTATGGCCTGCAGGAGGTGAAGGGCGCCCGGAGGTGCAGAGAGCAGCACATGGTCCCTGGCAATGGAGCAAGCCTGAAGACCTTTCATCCTCCTCCTCTTCTGAACCACCCATAGGCCCAGCCGGGCTGGTGTGGGAATAGGTCCCAGGGGAACAAGGCACCTTTGCTCAGCAGGGCTAGAGACTTGGGCCCTTGCCTTTATCCAGTAATGTATTAATAAGAGATCTGTAACAGACACTCCAGATTTAGCCCTGCCTCTCCAGGAACGGAACTGGTTCGATTCCTCTTTCACACAGGACAGTCGCACCTTGTACGTCCCTAGATTAGGAACATAGCAACACAGATTTAAAAATAGTGCTCGGTTCTGTTTTCAAATGAGCACCATCTGTGCAGCCAACACTCTTCGTGAATTCTTACCAGCCAGAGCTTTCCCAGGCAGAAAAAGCTGGTGGATCCAGCCCACTGAGGCAACAGAATCTGCCCTGTGCTCCAGGGTGAAGCTAGTAGTGATCATGACAACTCCATAGAAGAACCCAGGAGTGGCCAGCATGGCATGATAGCTGAACTCAGCAGTAGATCTCGTGGTTCACAATGTGTTACACTGGGACTGAACTCCATTGCAGGGTCCTCATTTTATTAGGACTTTTCTTCCTAATGAAAGGCTGAATTTTATTTAGAGCTGATTGAAATTTTTCAAATTTTGAAGATAACATTTTCAAATTTTGATGAAAATTTTAACTGAAACTTCAAATTTGGATGGAAAACAGCAAACAAATTCATCAAAATTTACAGAATCAAGAAGTTCCCTCCATTTTTCAGAGTGGTTGCTGTGTTAGTCTGTATCAGCAAAAACAATGAGGAGTACCTGTGGCACCTTAGAGATTAATAAAAATATTTGGGCATAAACTTTCGTGGGCTAAAGCCCACTTCATCAGATGCATGGAGTGGAATATACAGTAGGAAGGAGGTTGACAGACAGCCCCCCAACCTGAAGCAAATACTGACCAGCAACTACACACCACACAACAAAAACACTAACCCAGGAAGCTATCCCTGCAACAAACCCCGTTGCCAACTCTGTCCACATATCTATTCAAGGACACCATCATAGGACCTAACCACATCAGCCACACCATCAGGGACTTGTTCACCTGCACATTTACCACTGTGATATATGCCATCATGTGCCAGCAATGCCCCTCTGCCATGTACATTAGCCAAACTGGACAGTCTCTATGCAAAAGAATAAATGGACACAAATCAGACGTCAAGAATTATAACATTCAAAAACCAGTAGGAGAACACTTCAATCTCCCTGGACACTCAATAACAGACTTAAAAGTGGCAATTCTTCAACAAAAAAACTTCAAAAACAGACTCCAGTGAGAAACTGCAGAACTGGAATTAATTTGCAAACTAGACACCATCAAATTAGGCCTGAATAAAGACCGGGAGTGGATGGGTCACTACAAAAACTAAAAACTAATTTCCCCATGCTAATTTCCACCTACTGTTACTCACACCTTCTTGTCAACTGTTTGAAATGGGCCACCCTGATTACCACTACAAAAATGATTTTTCCTCCTGTTGATAATAGCCCACTTTAATTGAATTATCTCATTAGAACTGCCCCCCCCTTGGTACAGCAAGGGGAGGGATAGCTCAGTGGTTTGAGCATTGGCCTGCTAAACCCAGGGTTCTGAGTTCAATCTTTGAGGGGGCCACTTAGGGATCTGGGGCAAAATCAAAAACTGGTCCTGCTAGTGAAGGCAGGGGGCTGGACTCAATTACCTTTCAAAGTCCCTTCCAGTTCTAGGAGATAGGATATCTCCATTAATTTAATTTAACTCCCATCTTTTCATGTACTGTGTATATATATCTTCCTACTGTATTTTCCACTCCATGCATCTGATGAAGTGTGTTTTAGCCCACAAAAGCTTATGCCCAAATAAATTTGT